TTTATATTTTGCTGTATTGGCTTGCGTTTTTCTGTCATAGAAGGAGTTTAGGGATGTTTCGCATGACCTTTGTTTTCAGATAATGAAGGGGTGTGGCTCATATGGAATAATAAAAGTTTCTAGAGTAATAATTTATCTGTAATTATCTAGATTCAAGAAATTTAAAATTTCGTTATATTACAGATATTTATTTGTAATTCCAATTAATTTTTGAAACTTATCCAGAAAGTTTAAAAACTAAACTAATTAACAAATTACATATTTTCTGAAGTTCAAGTGTTATCTCTATTCCTAATAAAAAATAAACTTCCAAGTGTYCTTTYAATAGYCTTTTTTTGACAGATCTCGCATGAGCTGTCACGTCAAGCTGTCTCATTAATTTTTTCAGTATTATTTGGCATTTCATTGCCTTACGCCTGAAAWCCTTCAAATTTATTACGAAAATTCACTTTCGCTAAAGTATGTGTTTTGCGCAATTCGCTAAATTATGGTCAACATAACCGGCCTACTGAGTGTACTATTCGCAGCATCATCATCCATTTGGAGACCCAGCGTTCGTTATTGGACAGTATTCGACCGAATACACAACGTCTAACACTCAGTGAAAGACCGTGGAGAGTCTATTCGGCGCCATTCGCAGCAACTCGGACTGACGTATGGAACGACTTGCCGCATTTTCGCAGTGGGTTTCAGAGATACAAAATAAAGGTATTTTTACAATTTTTTTTAATATAAGCAATCATATATTTGAAAATATAAAATGTTATATCAAAGGTAGATATTTGAACAGTATCTCCTGAAATTTCGATACAAAATGTTGTAATTTCAGCCGTTGAGACCTTATTTCCCTGGGTGTCTCACAAAAAAGTGCTCTCGCCGTGGACAGCATAACTTATTGTTGGTTCATATAAAATTAAAAAATTAAGCATATTCCGTTAGTACATATCTAACGTAGGAAATAAAAAATATTAAATTTTCCTTTTTTTCACAGACTTTGAACAAAATCTAATTTTTTTGTCAAATTTTCGGTGAGCTGATAATTTCAMGCTTTGTATGTAAAATTTAAAGTCTGCGCGGACGATCCCGCTTCGATTCAGGCCTTGGAACAAAACATCACGTGCGTTATTCGTCAGTTACTAGTGGAAATGCACAAACGAGGCGTCGAAAATTGGACTTATCGGACGAATGCTCTGGACCAAAGTTTTAGTTGCATCTTCGCATGTACAAAAGAAAGCATACCAAAAATGCCGAGAGAAGTATTCAAGCATAGCCAAGAGGGGTTATTCATTATACCGTATATGTTGCGATGAGTTTTTGAAAATCTCTTTAAAGAAATATTTCTAAGCACCCTTGATCACTTTTAAAATTTCACACCCAATAAAAACGTTCAGAGTTCCTAACACAACACCCTTTTTCGCAGAATTAATCACGATAGCACACGTCTTCCTTTACACACATGCAAGGAACGCACAATGTAAACAAATTAGTAAAAGCAAAGCTTGATTCGAGCCTCACTGAAACATCACAACCAACGGAAACGAAATTGGATATTCTCGAAAATGAATACTTAACGCGTCGAATCATCTTTAGCAGCATTGGCTCTTCATGYTGGCTGCAATGGGCCTCCCCAAAGTGGCAAGTGCTAGTGTGTGGCAGTAAGTACTTCTGGGCGGCGAACTCATCGCAGCTCAACGGGTGATAGTGCTATGTGTAGTTGAGAACGTTTGAAGGCGAACATGCTTTTATACTTTAGCCATTTAAGTTTGCAACTAACTACTAAAACGCAACAACAATATACACCTATAGTATACATATATGCGAGCAGATCACGCGCCTCCATCAAAGTCTGAGCATCCGTAAAACAGTAGCAACAATGATAATCGGTTCAGCAGTCCAGAAGCAGCGCATGCCCATGTGTGCCGCTGGAAGCTGTGTGACACGTTGCCACCATTTAGTACGTCAACCGCGCACGCCGCCCCCCTTGTTGCAACCAAAATGCCTGTGCGCAAGTGCGTGTTGCCGCAAACGTGCAACTGCAACACACATCCTTTTTCAAAACRCTTGCCATGTATAGTGGTTGTGTAGCTGCTGCATTTTATAGCTTGCAATTTTTTGTTGTTGTTGTTGCTTTCACTGCAACACTCTTTTGTAAGATCGATGTGGCACGCATTCTTGAAGTGTGCGTGCTTTGTGGCAATCATGTTAATGCTACTGCTTTGGCCCCTCCAATATTGTTATTGTTGTTGTGCGGGACTCTGAAGGCGGTAATGTGTTATATGTGAATGTTGTTGTTGCTGGCAACACCACAATTTGTAACGAAAAACAGTAGCCTTGTGCCATTTTTAGTCATTTTGTATGCTACTCCCTCTATAATTGTTATTATTATTGCATTTTAAGTAGCACATATGAATACCCACACAYTCATATGTACATTTGTGTTTATGTRTGCGTATATATGCGATGTATTGCCAAGACAGTTCATAGAAAGTGAAATCAATAGTTTGCAGARTTCTTTCTTGATGACTTCTCTTTAACAGCTTTGTAGGCAATGCTGCCACAGCTTCACCACTAAAACCAGACTCWTTGATGCTTTGTAATGCGATAATTGAATGCAATTCATTTGTCAAATTCCAGCCGGTGGTCTTCCGTACGGAAAAAGCTTTTACGCCAAAGCACTGATAAGCCGGAATCCACAGCCAATGGGTTCCGCTTGAGTGAGGACTGCTGTGATTAATGTTGACGTCTTTACAGCACTCATGCAAGGTATTTGAAATGTGGGCCGTAGGATGAATGAAGCTATGTTTTGGAACAGAATATACACATGCCGGTATCTTCTTTTTAGGAGTACATTAGCTGAATATTTTTTTGTKGACTTTGTACAAATAGAAAACACGGCAGACGGTTTCTGGATTAAACGAATATTTTTGGATATTTTTTGAGTACAAAGAAACTAGTTTTTTAGAATAGTGCAAAGCGATATAGTTTCTTATGAGTATGCCGAAGGTTTTTAAGTTGTTAGTCCAGTCTTTGATTTTTAAAAMATTCAACTTTGTTTGGTGTCAAATACAGCTTAGAGTTGTATATGTGTATAATCATTATAAACTGATAGAATAGTGAAACAAAAATTTATCGGTTCAACTCGCCTCAAATGAGCTGGTCAATGAGCTAGAAAGTTTATATGCTTTTTTGTCGATGCAAAATTTTTCGAATCGAGCAATGAGGTAATCGGGGGCTATCATACGTATACAGTAAAATTTTCTCGTAAAATGTGATGCGGAAGATTTACTTATAAATACTAAAATGCATTCTAAAATCTGGAAATACTAGTTCGCTACCTCTTTCTTTAATACCAGAATAAAGTGCCAAACATAGACATTCTTTGATGGATCTAGACTGACCTAATTCCCTAAAATCGCTTGTTCAATATAATTTATGATTATTGTTAAATTTTAATTTTTCGATTGATGGAAACTTTATTCCAAAAAATATGTTGTTCACTAAGTAATTCCGTTTTTTTTATTTAGCATAATTTCAAAACTATTTATTTATTTCGTTAAACATTTTATGGAATTATGTATTCTACATTTTGATTCAATACTTTGTGCAATTTTTCGTGTAAGATATCGAATGCGTAATCGTAAAATTACTGATCTTTGCTTTCAAAAAACTGGTCTAAGTGGTTTTAATGTTCTGATTTGAAGTGAAGGTTCTCTCAATCAACAAATTTTGTAGAGACCGACCGGAGAAAGTAATACGTGTAGTTTGAAGGTGCTAAGTCTGGAGAATATGGTGGGTGTGGTTGCACATCCCATTCGTCCATTCAAAGTGCAAAAGCTTTTCGCGAGTCCTCAAATTTTTAAAAAGTCTCGTATTTTCCTGGCGTAACACTCCTTCTTTTCTATTGGTCGATTTTATTTTAGCCACAGTGGCTTTAAGAGTGTTTCCAGAARCCAATTTTGGGCATTGTCGTTCAACAACACATCTTCTCCGCGTACATCACATATTTTTCGTTTTGCATTGCATTTTCACAATTGCGCAAGTGAAGAAAGTTCTCTGATCTCCCTTCACTTAGAATTAGKCAGAACGATTCTTTTACATATGGCTCTAGCAGCTAACGACTTCCGGTCWTAGACCAAGTATCTCCTGGGTAGCCAGGAATCATCCGTTTTAAGGCGAGMTAAAGTGAGAAGGCGAAACATCTCCTCTCCAGGGTTGTGTGTTGGGTTTGGGACCCACCACGTGAAAAACTCTACCAATGAAAAGTAAAAAGCATTAATTTTATAGCAAAAAAGCAAAATATGCCGAAAATGCTGTTTTCAATCTTCCATCTTCGAAAGGACACCAAACTAAATCTTTTTAAAAAGTTTTAAAAATTTKTTTACAAACAAGTTCGAAAACATTAGAACGGCTACATTTTCGAAGACTGTAATTCAAAAGGTATTTGAGATATTTTGGGATGTTAAACTTATTATATTATTTTTAAGGAATCTATCGAAATATGAAATCGAGTTTTTACAAATTTCCCACCCAATAAGGTGCCCCTTAATCCCGTGTGAAAACGTTTTTCAAAAGTTTTCATGAGTTTTGGGTTCATTCTTCAGTTTGATACAAAACGTCACAGACTGCTCTTTTATCGAACTGTATTCTCCATTACCAGGACGCACATCACTAACCYCCTTCTGATTTTGACACAATTCCGATTAACGACAACATGAGCAATCCATAAATGGTGATTTTAGTAGATGCCCCACAGCGTTTACAACGTTTTGCCGCCCAATATGTTTGGCTGGCACAAAACGGCTGATGTTACCGACGTTTTTGATGGATCATTAAATTGAAAAAATTCAAATACACCAAACTCCTGTTTAAAGCAGTGGCGGCGACAGTAGTTAAACGGAAGCTCTTTTGTTAATACTCATGTTTTTGGTTGCTCTTAATTTGTTGTTATTTTATAATAATAAATCGTTGTTATTGTATTTTTTTTATTTACACAAACTCACCTGCCAATCTGTCCTTGACCGCCTGATGTGCCAGAGCGGCGTGGTGCAACGGCGGTAACGCCCAGGTTAGCGGTGTGCGTTGCGGCGGTACGCGTAGTACATGTCCGGCAGCGGCAGCCGCAKCTGCGGTGGGATACAGATGCGGATATGTATAGAGTGCGGTGGCGCCGCCATACGTCGATGTTGCTATGCTGGTGGCCAACTTGTACGCAGCCAAGTCATGTTCACTCTGTATATCTTTTTCAGGACTTTGTTTGTTGTTGTTTTCGAAGGGCTTCGACAGCAAGCGTGATATGCTAAAGGGCAAATTCTCACTAGACGATGASCGCGTTTGCTCCGACTGCACGGATTCACTGGAATTAGAAATTAAATCGAATTATGTGAAATCTTTCAAATTGGATGGGTAATATGTTAATAATATATAGTCCTTAAGGTTTTGAGTTGAGATGAAATTTTCCTTATGTCCTTTTCCCTCATGAACCTGCTTAGTTATCGGAATCACCGATACATGAAAACTGAATGGTCAAAATGAAGTTTTTGTATGGAAAACTGCACAAAATTTCACATGGATTCAATGACCGTTTTGTTATACCGCTGTATAATGTAAGAAATGCACATGTGAAGGGTACTTTAGCTTTCGTGCGGCCATTTTGATTAACGGGGTTTCTTGTTTTATTTGAGTTAAAAGCATACAAATTTTCGAGATATCATGTCCACCGACTTCAAGAACACAGTTTCGAGGAAACCGCGTTTAGAGATGGTGCATTTAGCGTAGCTAGCCTCGAGTGCAGAAGTTGTCAAGGCTGTATCTCTAAAACTATTACTCGGATCAACTTGGACAATATTAAACAGGTGTTGTAAACTTAATAAGACAAACAAAGAAGAATTCTCAAACCCACCTAACGCCTTAAAGAGAAAAGTAGCCSAGACACGAATCAATGAGTGTTAGGAAAAGTCGAAACCGTTGCCACGACAGTTGGTTCTACGGACCCGGATTTTAATGYGGCTAAAGACTGTCGTCTCGGAGGAATTAAGACGCTACAAAAACAACAACAAGGAAAAATCGGATTACATTTTTTTAATTATTGTCCAGTGTAATAAAAGTTATGGTCCAAGTTAAACACCTCAATTTGTTTTTTAACAAAGAACATTTATTTAGCTGTCACGGCCTCATTTCAACATTTTTTTTTATAACTAACAATGTTTTCAATTAACTAATTTTGGAATTCGTAGGCGACGGTTTCGATTTTAGAGACTAACTTCGCAAAAAGGCACGTCGTAATCTCACTTATAAGCTAAAAAGAATATGCGAAGAAGTGTCCTTCAAAGACTTAACGCCTCTTCATGTTTCAAAATTTTGACTCAATCTACAAAACAAGCGATGTTTGCGATTTTTAGCATTTTTGGCATTATAGTATAAACAAAATATTCGTGTAAGAACTTGTCGCATGCACAGAGTCACGCACACTCGCTTGTTGTTGTTCTACTTTTATCGAATCCGTCACTGGCTGCTGGACAATCACAAAACTCACACGAATATTTGCTTTTAAACGCGCGTTTTCATGTTCATGTTTCGCACCAGCCTTATTCGATTGACTTYAGACGATTGTTGTTGTGATTTCGTTTATTTGTGTGTACCATTGGTGTTGCCAGCGATTGCTAATACGACTGCGGGCTGCTGACTGCTTGCTGTTGACATTGTGGTCCATCGTCATTYGCATGTCTAATCGAAAACGGCGCTATGTCGTGCCTTGCGTGGGCCTCCAGTCCCCTTTCGATTCTTAGTTAATAAATGCGAGTATTCCGCTGCAGCGTACTGCAGTCTATTGGATTAAACTACCTTTCATATTCGTGTTGTTATCAGTGACACTTTGTAAAACTCATTAATTTAAAATGGAAATCAAATATGTACACTCATTATAAATGGCGGCCATACGTACATGCGTATGTGCAAATTTATGCTTMTATACAAAGTTTGTTCACTAAAGAAGCGATTACATGCTGGGTAACAAGGTAGTTCAATTTGTGTGCTTGGCAGTTAACGGTGCAGGATTCTYTTGTATTTGAGTCAAATGGGCCGGCAATAACTAAAAGGCGCTAAAAGGAATGAACGTAGTATATTTCAAAAAAAAAAATTCTTCAAAAAATCCAAGTGTGTGATTGTGGTCAGAGAGGTAAAACGACATTATTTCATTTTATTTCTACTTAAAAAAAAAATCTTTATAAATCATATAAAATGCAAACCAATACTTTTTAAGAAACATAATTGAACAGKCATCGTATAGTTAAGTAGTTTCGAAGCGGCCCCATATTGCCAGTTAATGCGGCCCTGATATTATAACTCTCTTTACACATGTGGATAATGCCAAACAAGCATCGTTTAGTTTAAGTGGTCACGATTTTCTTACATTTTGCTTTGCTCTTGACGCCAATTTGTTGATTTCACAAGTTCTTATCGTGCTAAAATTAAATTAACGTCATCTTTCATATATAAATATAAAGTTATATATATTTCACACATAATTTTGCTTTAGCAATGAGACATAATATTACTGTTCATGCCGGCTTACTGACTTCAGGCCTAACTATAATGTGCGTAAGCTAGCTTAAGCCAGCGTAAGCAACTGTCCGAATAYACACAAATTGTATGTTGCAACTATAATGTACTTTACATCAAGTTTCGTTAAGTTTTTTCAAACGTCATTTGCTTAAGGAAAATGCGAAACTGTTCGCATCTTCCGTACGGAATCAGCTGTTTTCGCTTTTTGTCAACAGATACATAATTTTGAATTTGAAGATGGAGAACGACGAATGTTCTATACAAAGTTTAATCGAAAATATTGGAAAAAAAAAAATGATTTTGCGATGTATATAAAAAAAATCTATGTGGTYAATCCCACTTCCTCTTCCTGTTTATTTCCCCCATTGACCGAACTCTTTAATTTCACTAATTTTTGTCAATATGCATATTMCKTCTAAAACAGAAGTAAGCATTTTGATWGTTTTTAAATATTTTAATTTTCTATTCATTTTTACAAAATCCAAACGAAATATAAAATCAAACACGAATTGTTTATTGGCCATTTTYTCTTCTGTATGTAAGTACATTATAATCATTCAAAASTCTACTCTCCGTTCCTTATGCATTTCACAGGCTTTTCGTTAATTTTTTGACAGTAACATATAGGCCAGAAAGTAACAGTAAGGCCTTTAATCATAAAAAATCATGAATCCAAGGGGTCAATTTAGAACTCATAGGAACTTCTATTTTTCAAATAGTGTTAAGAATCATATCAAATTGTAAAAGTATCTCGCCAAGGCTCTTGCAAAGCTTTAACTACCTAATGTTTTATTTTCAGTGACATAARCAGAGTGATCATAAATTAGGGTTCGATACACGAAGATAGAAATAAATGAGTAGCATTTTCCAAAAATGAAATGATAAACACTCAGTATTGAAAACAACTATTAWAAGAAGCCAATTCTAGGAACCAAATGAGTTATATTTTTWATTTTTCATACCCTGAACAGGGTATATGAGTTTGCCACGATGTTTGGAAAACACAGAAGGAAACATAGGAGCTCCTAGAAATTATGTACGTAAAGATCAACGTAACGACCTGGGTCAAAGACTTAAGATAGTCCCTTAGTTTTTCTCCCCGAAAAGCTAATAGTTTCTCGGAACCGACGAGATATCCTCACGAAATTGCCATGTATTCTTGTCTAAGGCAAAAATGCTATCTCCGAAGRAATTGTTCAAATCGGATTTCTATAGCAAGATTTTTATTTTGTGAATGGCATTATAGCTTAAGTGCTACCGAAGTTAACGTTCAGTTGTTCTTATTATATTGTCTCCGATTTGACAGAAGAAATATGGCTAAACAACTAAATCAGATTTTTCCGTTAGTTTTCTCTTGAAGCCAAGTAACAAAAAAAAAAAAAAAAAAAAAAAAAAAAAA